TACTCTCAGCACAACTTAAGAAGAATGCTCCACCATGGGATCAGAAATGCACTGAAGCAGTAAAAAAACTTAAGAGAATCTCAAAAACTCTTCCAGCATTGAAGATTCCATCCAAAGGCAAGAGAGTCTTACAAAAAGATGCTAGTGATTGTTATTAGGGAGCTGTTCTGTTAGAAGAAGATGAAAAGGGCAAACGGAGCATTATCATTCAACATACAAGGAGATACTCGCAGTTAAACGGGGCATAGAAAAGTTTGATTTCCATCTGGTTGGTCAACATTTCCTCATAGAGATGGACATGTCCTCGTTTCCAAAGATGATCCAGTTCAAGCAGAAGGTCTTGCCACAAGCATAACTATTGAGATGGGCAAGCTGGTTTTAACAATGGAAGTTTGATGTAAAGCACATCAAGGGGAAAGACAACTTCCTCCCAGATTTTTTATCCAGAACTCAAAAACAAATTCCAGCGATCATCCCAATGATCTACACCTTGAGCCCTGAACACCCAACAAAGGAGTCCTTGAAGAACATGATTGCAACAATGCCACAAGGTCTACAAGAGAAGATGCTAGACATTGTTTTGGTTTCCAGAGGAATGGAAACTCTTCACGGCTTTCTAAGACTACATCTATTGGTATGGCCTAGACCTTGGTCCACTATTAGGAATACCTTACCATCCGACATATCCTTTCCTCACAACCATTGAGATGAATCCATGTCACTACGAAAATTTTCCAAAGAAAGCCTATCTCCTACTTTGGTATTTGTCGGATCTTTACACCATTGGAGTATTATTCAACAAGTGTCACATGCTCCAGTATTTGGCAAAGTGCATCATGACAAGGAAGAAACCGCACTACAAGCAACTTTACAAGTGGCTCACTCTATTCAAAGATGTGACGTGGTGGCAGGAGAATATTCGAGCTCAGCATGGATTTGAAATTTTTGCCACGTTTAAGATAATCACTCGTCAAGTCCAGACAGAAGATGGAATAATTATCCAAAAGACTTATGAGGCCCATATCCAGACAAGCTACAATGACAGCGCATTTAATGGAGATAATTTTCATGCAAGGACACGTGGTCTGGCAGCACTCAATTACCTCGACGAATCTCAACTGGACCCCAATCTTTTCTGTCCCTATACAGCAAGATGGCACAACATGGATATCTATCCGAAAGATTTCGTTGAAGAAATAAGACAAATCCTACTCGGCTTCCATGATCAATACGCGTGGCCAAAATATCATCCTGACCATCCGATATATCGAGTAGAACGCAAGAAATCCAGAATCAAGAGATACATTCCAGGCCATAAGATCCACGTGACAGAATACAGTTCTGACGGTGAGGAAGACAACACGGAGTGAGATGGGCCCCATCTCTCTTGAAGACAGAGGGAATAAAGTAAAGAATATTACGTGTGTGGTTGTAAAATAAAGAATAAGAGTACGTGTGCATGTAAGATAAGAATAATGTATGAGTGTGAGTTAGGTTAGGCATAAGTATCACGTATGAGTTAGGTAAAGAATATCTAAGGGAATATGCCTTGTAATATTCCTTAGAGATTGTAATATAAATAGAGGCCTGGGTAGACGTTGTAAACCAAGCCAAGTGTGAGAGAAAACATAAGAGTCTTTGTTGTAATCCTTTGAGTGTTCTTATCAATAAAGCTTGCCCTTTGATTATACATTCTTGTTCTTAAACATTTATCTTATGTCCCTTTGATCCTGCAAAAAACCTCCT